TGGGACAGAGAGAGAGAGAGAGAGCAACACACCAGTGACCTTCTACGAAAAGGCATTTTTCCTTTTTTTTAAGTTATTGTGGGTGCTCAGTACCCCAGGCCACTCCGTCTGTTCTAGAAGATGACAAGTCAGAATACCAGCTACCGGTACTTGGGCTCTTTCTAAAAGAGTCCAGTGTCTAAAAGAAAAGAGATCAGTTCTGCTGATCAATGCTGATTTCTAGAGGCTGGAGAAAAACGTAGGGAAAACAAAACTCAGAACCCAACTCGATCTCTCCTGACTGCGTTGAATGCATTAGGTAGAGTCTTGACAAGGCAATGAACTCATTCTACTAATTGTAATTAGTGTGAGGTCTTTGGCAGGTTATTGGGCTCCTCAGACTTCAGAGGGCTTTGATCGCCTCTTGCTAACTGGTTTAGTGCGTTTTTTAGGCAACAAAAGCAACCACTACCTACTCTTTAGAAAACAAGCGAGGCTGGGCTTTAGAAAAAGAATTCTCCGTTGTTTTCACTTGTCCTCCAAATCATGTAGAACGTTCTTTCTCTATTCAGCCCCTTGGAGTTGCTAAGAAACTGCCATTTAAGAGGAGGGGTAATTAAATTTTGATTTCAATTTAAGGACAGAGCCGGCAAGGTTCTCTACACTCCTTACATGAATGGGTGCCCCAGAGCAGGGGACGTGCTGTTTCCAGATCAATACTGGACACTGAGTGTGATTCGAGTCTCTGGGTGTTGTGCTGCCGAGAGAACAGCTTTGAAATGGTTCTTTGTGGCAAGCACTGCTGAACTTTTGGGGAGAAATACTCAGGAGACCAGTGTGTGCTGGGAAACCAGCAACCCTGGGCTTGATTAATTTATAGGTGTAATTTAAGAACCTGGTCTCCTTCTGATCCCCGGGATGCGTATTTACTGAGCCTGTAGACATGAGGCCTCTCTGCTCCGTGGACTTTTTTTACGGCCTTTGCTATGTCAGAGCAAAAGTTGTAGATCTCTTACGAGCCAAGCATATTATTATGTCCAGAGGAGGACTGGCATGTTATAAAGTTTCAGTGGTCAATTAACAAAGATTTATTCTTTGTCACTCAGGTATTTTCTTTTTCTCAATAATTACCTCTTGGAACGAAGCAGGCTGTTTTCCGCCTGTTCTTTCTGATTGTGACTCCCAGCGTCAGGGCCAGGACTTGGGAGGGTCAGTCTCGACATTCAGACTCGTAGCTGCTGGGCCTTCTGCTTGAGGAAAGTGGACTCACTTGGAGCTCTTGACAAAAGGGAGTGAGAGAGAGAGAGAGAGAGAGAGAACTTGTGGGGGAGAGCATGTATTTTTTAAAGCACTTCAGTCTGTGTTTACTACGCATCAATTTGGTGGAACCTCATTCCAGCCGGGCAGTTCCCCATTGGCAGCAGCCGCGCCCTCTGGGCTTCGTTCCCTTCTCTCTCAAGTTGGAATTCGCATAGAGGCCCGAGAGTCACTCCTTTAAAGGTGCGCGACCTGGTTCGGGTCTGCACACTGACCTTCTGCCACCTGTTGTGCTCAGAATGTGTATTTTCAAAATCGCGCTAAGGACACAGGTTGAGCTGTTCCTCAGCTTTTTGGTTTTCCTTATATTTATTTCACTGCCCCTGGAAAGAGAAAAATCTGTTTTCTGTAAGATCTGAGAGTTCAACATGCAGTAAGAGAACCTTGCCTAAAACTGTAAAACATTCCTGGTAGAGAGGCTGTGATTTTTATTATCCCATAGAAGACCGAGAGATGGGCCAGCTCTGAGTTGTAGTCCGTGACCCAGAGATAATTCATTGACTTCTTCTTTTTATATCGGCCTGTTGCCCAAAGCTTGGGAACCTGGGGGGTTTGCTCTGCCTGGGGCCTGGTGAGGTTCCAGGGAGAGCACATTAGCCCTTGGGGGGGGGTCCTTGTGCCCACCATCACTGCCTTGTTCCCGGGGCCCCTGGGGAGCTGGCCACAGAGGTCCCATCTCTGCGGGAGCTGCTGCCTGCACCCTGCTCTCGCCCCTGTGTTTCGGAAGTTAGAACAGGAGTTCTAACTTCTGTCATCCCCTTCCTGCTGATCCCTGTTCTTTCGGGTCTGACAGACACCAGGGAAGAGCGATCGCTGAAGGATTTGAGAAGAGGCACAGTTCGGGGGATGCCGGCATCCCGGGACCTTTCCCAAGATGTTTGGGGCCTGGTCTTTGACTTGTTTAAAGGCAGAGAATAAGGTTGCAAAGGAAATCAAAGCCTGATGTGGAGAATCGAAACATGAGGCCTACTGACTTTTTAAAAACATTTTAAATAACATTCTCTAAGGTTTCATTTTATACTGAAGGCAGCTGTAATAAGTTTTGGAAGACGGTGTAAGGTTTCGATTACAGAGAGATCCCGACTTGCAGTTTTTGTACCCAAAGTGAGAAGGGGCGGAGGTATGCGGGGGTGGTTAAGAGGTTATTTTGTATAAGGTGAGAAAATTTGAAAGGATACATTCAGGACTGCAAGCGGTAACATTTGGTACGCTGTAATTTGCAAATGCAATAACATTAAACCATTGCAAGGGCTTTTTTTTTTTTTTTCCCCCCCTCTTGGTGAAAATAGTCCGGATAGCAATGGAATAACTTAATAACTGGAACGTAGCAGCACGTTGACCACAAGTAAAACAAGGCAGCGCCTCTGCAGCCGGCCCTGCCCGTGTTGCCCCAGTGACTACGTTCCCTGCTGAAAGCTGGCGCCGGCCAGAGAAGGCGGCCTTATGAAAGCACTCATTGTTCCCAGGGCATCATTATTTGGTATTACATGCACAATGTTTGCTTGTGAAACGATTTATTGGAAACAAGTATGTTTAAGAAGGAGAATTTGGTTTGAAATTCAGTTGATCTGGCTTATGACATTTAAGATTTTATAGGACCTTTGTTTCTAAGAATAAATATTTAGGTCCACTGTAAATATTTATCTTAAAACACACAAACACACGGACACAAAACTGGAAAACCGAGCCAGGGAATGAATGGATACCTAAAATGCACTTCTCTGCAGGAAAGGGTAAACCGCCTCAATATGAGGTATGTGTAAAGGAGCGGATTTTGTGAGCTTGGCTGGTAGTATCCAGCCCAGAGGAGTGTGTGTGTGTGTGTGTGTGTGTGTGTGTGTACACTTAACTCTGCTCTTCTCACGTGGATGGGGCTAGCCAGGATTAAACCAGCCCTGCCCCGTCCAGCTGCAAGCCGGGTGTTCGTGGCAGCTGCAAGCCGGAAGCCGGGTGTCCGTGGCATCCAGCTGGCTGCCACAGCTGACGGGGAGGCTGGCCGTGGCCCATCGCAGGGATGGAGTGTCCGCCGAAGGGTGAGGCTTTCTGGTTATGTTTGAAGGGATCCTAGCTTTGAGATTTTCTGCCCACAAAAGTAGGACTTCTGGGTTCTTTGCTCAGCCTGCAGGGTAATGTTGGGAAATGAATGACTTCTTTGGAGGCTCTGAAATCCTTATCTTTTTAATGTGAAAGTGTAGGTGTCTGTGAAGTGATGGAAGATTCTGGAATGAAATGTGTTAAGAGTAACCCACTAGCACTTTTTTTCTTTTCTTTATTATTATTATTATTATTATAAGTTTTTAAAGACCAACAGACTTGTGCAGTAAAATCAATTTGCACGTGGTTTGGCTTGTGTCCAACAAATTCCAGCAAATGATATTTTAATCTGAAAGGCTCAAATATAGAAGGGTTTAGATATCTGTCATTCTAATTTGCTATTTCCAATCCAGTGCACAGGGATACTCAGGTGTAGGGTGGAGGCGTCTTTGGTGTGTTGGGTTGGCTGGGATCTCCTTCTTTCCCTTGGCCATTTTTAAAGCTGGGAGTCTAGACAAAGACAGTGGTATCTACAGTGTGGGGAGACAGAGGGGGAGGCTGGCTTGTACGTGCAGGTACGTGGGGGTGGGATGATACGTTTGTGGATGGCTGGATGGATGATTGGGTATGTACTCTTGACCGAATTGTCACGTAGTAAGATGGCAGTCAGCCTGGGATTCTAGGGCCTTTGTGGACAGGATCACACAACGGGCTGGTCTGTTACCAGATTCTTGAGGACTCTTGCCTACAGTTTCTCGTATACCTTGACCTGGTTGCCTCTATATGATTTCTGTAGAGACCCCCTCTAAACGGGAGAGGAACTTTTCCAGGCATAAGATGTAGGGTGTCTTCTGTTGAGAACTTTTTGCCTAGAGAGAGAGGCAAGGCAAGTGAGGGCGGGGAGTGGTGGCTAGCATACCCTCTCTGGGGCTTCCTTGAACATGGCCTAGAACATCGCCAGGATTGGGGAACTGGTGTCTGTCTGTGTTTCTTTTGGTGCCACATCTGAAGAAGGAATGTCTGCTTGTGCGTCTAGCGTTTGGCAGATGGTAACAATATATATCGAGGTAATGAATGGATGGATGTTGAATAAAAGGAGTGAAGTCCAGAGTAGAGGGATGAACGCAATTGTTCATTCAGTCTGTTCATCACTCTGAGCTCCTGCTTTCGGTTTTTCTTTTCAAAATAAGAAATGGAGGTTTTCTCAGAGTGCCTTAGAGAATTTTCGGGAGACACTGTGTATGGGAGCCATTTTGGTGTTCAGGGTGACCTTAGGCTTGTCCCTTGCCTGTGGTGTTAAGCTTACGGTCAGAGTGAGTCTCCCGATATTATCCCAAGTGGGACAAGTGAAGAGGCCCCCATCCCCTGCCATTTGTCCTTTCAATTGTCAACATAAAATCTTTCCCCTTGTTCGGTAGGTGGCCACGGACAACCAATAACTTGAGCTATCAGAAGTTTCTTCTCTCTGTTTTCTAAATAAGTATTCTTTTTACAAGGGTTGCGCTCCAGCAGTCTCCTTTGAAGTCGGTTTTGTTATGCATTGGGCCGCAGTGTTATTTCAAAGGAGTCAGCCAGCAGACTTGAGGCCTTTTTGGCTTGTGTTCACGAACAGCCTTCTGGACACACAACTTATTTATTCGGTTCTCCCCCCTCCTCCCTCTCTCCCTCAGAGCGATCGCCACACCGGCCCATCCTCCAAGCTGGACTGCCAGCGAACGCCTCCACTGTGGTCGGAGGTGACGTGGAGTTTGTCTGCAAAGTTTACAGCGATGCCCAGCCCCACATTCAGTGGATCAAACATGTAGAAAAGAACGGCAGCAAATACGGGCCCGACGGGCTGCCTTACCTCAAGGTGCTGAAGGTGAGGACTTTCTGAATCTGAAGGGACCCACACCTGGGGTCTCTGTCGTGGACGTGGGGACAGGTTCTTTGATTTTCCGTTGGATCTGTTGGTCTTACTTGACCGGCCAGAAGAGAGTGTGGTAGGGAATTAGCAGATTATTAGGCTTGCTAGTAAAATTGCAGAAGGGAATGGGGGGCGGGAGGGGGAGGGAAGGGCTATTCAAGTGGGAGTCAGAATAATTCAGCTGCTTATTGGCCCTGAGATCTCATATGAGATATTGAGGCTTAGCTGCACATCCATAAAAGTGGGGATCATGATGCCATCTCCCCTACGGGGTGGTTGTACAGAATCCATGCAGTGACGTGCATTGAAAGAGCTTTGTAAACTCGCGTGGTACCAGTGTTTATGGTTAACGCCAATGTCGACTTCTCTTAGTACGACGTTAGGATCAAATTGGAGTAGCCATCTGCCAGAGGCAATTTACATTTTACTTTTAAAAGAAGGCTTTTGGCCTTTGAAATTCATTCACATGTGGTTTAGACAAACCTTAGAAAATGTTTTTGCACCAGTGAAATGTTGAACAAGGAGACTTCCTTTCTCCTTGTATTTCGTATTTGGTTCCTTGCAAGAGGGGACTTGGTGATAGCATCAGCCTCTTTAATTTTTAGATCTGTCTTGCGCTTCAGGACGGTGATAGCAAGTGGCAGCTAAGTCTGTAAGCCTCTCCTTAGCCACTGCCTACGACGTCTCCCGCATGTAGGTGCTCGTAGAAAACGTCCTTAAAAAGAACAGTCTTCCCATAGAACCATAGGTAGCTCTGCTAAGAACTCTCAACTGATGAGGTGTTCTCCCCAGCTGAGAATCCCAGTGGTCAAAAGAGCTGGAAAAAGATGACCAGCCTGGGGAATTGCGGGTCCGTTCTGCTCGGTATTGATCACACCCTTCTATCCCTCTCCACTGGGTCACTTCCATGGCCCATCAGTTAGTTTATTTTGTTCTGTCTAAGCCCACAACCCTTTAAGGCAGCTCCTTAGACCTAATGGAGATTTTTTTTTTTTTTTTGGTGGTGTATTGGTGGTGGGTCCCTAGACAGTGCAAAGTCCTTCCTGGTTGGCCGTTATATTGTTCTCCTGTGTCTGTTCCAGCACTCGGGGATAAATAGTTCCAATGCAGAAGTGCTGGCTCTGTTCAATGTGACTGAGGCGGATGCTGGGGAGTATATATGTAAGGTCTCCAATTATATAGGGCAGGCCAACCAGTCTGCCTGGCTCACTGTCCTGCCAAAACAGCAAGGTAACAATGTTTTGTGTTTTTGTTTTTTGTTTTTTGTTTTTTTTAAAAGAAGGCTGGATATAGAAGCTGAAAAGATTTGGTGCTTTGGGAGACTGCAGGCAGCTTCTAGGATGACTCTGTGGCCTTGGTATATTCGTCATAATCTTTCTTCGGTGATGCAGCTGGTAGGATACCAGCAGCCATGGAAAAATGCCCACGATGTTCAAAGTGCTTGCTCTCATTTCCTCTAAAGATTACCTGCCACCCCCCCACCCAGTTTTTAAGTCGTTCCTTCTGGTTTATCTTGTTTGGGCTGCACATTCCCCGTCATTTCTGCACACCAGCTGCAGTTTCAGCACACACAGGCATGCCTGTTAAATTTGGGACATTTACATATCAGCAGAATTCATGCCTTCTTCTGCCCCAGATTGGTAGAGAAATATTGGCACGCGATAATTTTTCCAACAGAATATCATTTCCTTGGTTACATAATGGGTGCTTAGGAGATACTGTCCTTGACCTTGCTGTCCTAAGTTGGAGCATAATCCATTTTATGGATGTGGACACTGTTGAAGGCAGCGGTTGACATTCTTTGTCACGACTCACACTCAAATGTTTATATTGAAGGAAAAAAAAAAACCAGTTTCTTTGCTACCAAGATCGTACTTTCTTCTGTTTTCTTTCATGCAATGTGAGTCAAGATGGTTCCACATGAATATCAGAGTCTGGTAACCGACACAGTATTCCACCCTGGTTGGTCCCCACCGGGCTGGAAGGACGTGCCAGGTGTCCACTTGGGCGTGTCTCCAGGGTTTTGCTTTACAACACAATAATTTAGACAGCACCATCCTTTTCTCAAGGTGGGAGTCTGCAGCCAACAGAACCAGAACCCAGCTGGGACTTTTGGGTGCTTACACTTTTGGAAAACCATCCCTAAATCCTAAGCAACACAAAGGCCAAGAGAACGGATCTCTGTGGGTTGATTTTTCCATGCGTCTGATTGCATGCATGTCTAGGTGGTGAAGCCGGTGTGGTGATGGGCCTGTGGAGGCGAGCTGCTCAGTGTCTCTCGGTTGTGGGCTTTGTGGACGGGCTGCGATCGGAATCTTCTGGTGGCCAGCACCTGCCGGAGCCCCTGGTGCAATGCCTCATGGTTCCACGGCCCCCTCCACGATCATCCCTATGTTGTCTAGCCTTTTCTCTTGCTTCCCTGTTTTCTAGGCCGCCGGTGTTAATACCACGGACAAAGAGATTGAGGTTCTCTATATTCGGAATGTAACTTTTGAGGATGCTGGGGAATATACGTGCTTGGCGGGTAATTCTATTGGGATATCCTTTCACTCTGCATGGTTGACCGTTCTGCCAGGTATATACTGCTCTTTCTCGCCATGGTTTTTTCCCTTTTCTGGGTTGATTGCTATAAAATTAACACAGCTTCTGTTCTCAGAAATGGCCCCTTTTATCCTGGCGTAAAGATTCTTAAAAATGCTGAAAATTATCCCCCGGGGATAAGAAAGTTGCCTTTGGAAATTCACTTACAATGAGATCCCACACTCCCATTTATGATCAAGTGAAATTTCATCCTTAAAACCCAAAGGGATCTTATATTTTCAGTGAGTCACTGAGTCAATGTATAAATTCACCCATCTGCATTTCTTCTAAGGAAAAGAAGGGGAAATTACTTTGTAAAACTCAAAGTAATTTTTTCTCATTTCAAATTCCATTTCACTAAAACCCCATATGTACTTTTATTACATTGTTCCACTCTCTCTTTTTTAATGATATGTAAATAGGTGGATGTATGTTGGGGTGCCTGGGGAGAAGCACCTCGGCACGTAGGATGTACAGAAGCAGTGTGTTACCTACCTCGGGAATCGGTGGCTTGCTGCATGTTGCAATAAAGTGGACCCTCAGTTTGCCTTTCCTGCAAAGCATGCTCTCGCCAACTTGGGCTTGATGTTATTTCTGCCCTGTGGAGAAATCAACATCAGCGAAGCCCTGTTGCCTACATACTGCTTCTGTCTGAATCTTTAACCGACATCTCTGTCCTCGTCGAACTTCTCCTGATAATCACGATCTACTTTGATGTGTGTCTCTTTGTCATTTCCTTTGTGAAGCTGCATAGACTGGTTTGCTAGCTCATGATGTTCCACTCCAGTTATTAATTCCTTATTTTTAGAGTATGGTGCCTACCTGCATGCTTATTTTTATATCTAGTAAAAAGAAATTGATCTTTCCATTTTGTGCTGTGCTGCTGGGAGTTTTGACTATCTTGCAAGTATTTTTTCTGATTAAAATGTATAAGCTTTAAATAATACCATTGCATCCATTTTCCCTTTTGTTGTGAGTCTGCTCTGTGGATATTTGCTTTGAAACAATGAGATGCTTCTTATGTTGAGCTTGCTTTTTACTTGTAGTACTGCCTTCTGCAGGTGCCTAATTGGCACTTCTTAACCAATTTGCCTGATAGTACTACTAGCACATTAACTAAGAATGCAGTTTGAGAAAAATACTGTTTGGAAATACACTGCTTGTAGCTCAATGACCATTGAGGACTGAGGAGGGAGCAGATATTACCGGAAGTTGATCTAAGAATGTGCTACCTTAAGTAATTACGTGGAAACTCACATAATACCGTTTCTATTTTTTCTCTAAGAGAAAAGGTGTAGTTACCTCAGTATAACCAGAAAACACAAATCTTAAATGGTAATTGATTAAGGGATATTAGAAGCGTTCCATGGTACAGATATAATGATTGTATATTAAAGGCAGTTTGGCCTTTAAATTCAGTTAATTTGTTTATTTGGTTGAATAATATGCTGGACTATATTAAGAAATTCGAAAACTTTCTGGACCAGCCTACTAGATGAATATTTATTTCATTTCATATGGAAGTGTGTTCTTCTGGGTTAAATCACCCTGTCACATCTTCCTTTGGAAGACCTCCCCCAAATAAGAGTGAGGTACCATCTCTTCACATGCACAGTGGGCATTGTTTCTACTTACGAATTTTTGATTTGGTTTGCGTCAGAGACCACCATGGAAGACAGTCCTTTTTTCTTTTTTCCCGTAGATGTGGATGACTGTCCTATTCTGCCCAAATGTCTGACAGAATGTGGCCCTGTAGCCTGCCCTTTGTGCTTTGGAGGCAGCCAATCCATCACGATCACTGGATTGCAGAGGCCCATTGAGGCTAGAGCTAGCGGCCGCTTGGGCCCCGGTGGTCAAGTGGGGAGCCCTTGGTTACTCGCCTTCATTTGGGAGAGGTGCATGGCAGGCCCATAGCCCATGCCATTCTGCAGCATTGAGTCATTGGGAAGCCTGTCCTTGGGAATGGTCATCCCCTTGTGATTCGTTTAATTATGCCGGGATGCAGCAACCCCATGTCCTAACTCTGTGGCCTGCTTATCTGTTCCTCCCCTGTGGTCTACACTCTAGCTCCTGTAAGAGAAAAGGAGATTACGGCTTCCCCAGACTACCTGGAGATAGCCATTTACTGCATAGGGGTCTTCCTAATTGCCTGTATGGTGGTGACGGTCATCCTGTGCCGAATGAAGACCACGACCAAGAAGCCAGACTTCAGCAGCCAGCCAGCTGTGCACAAGCTGACCAAGCGCATCCCCTTGCGGAGACAGGTAACAGAAAGTAGATAAAGAGTTTGAAGAAATTTACTCCTCCCCCACGCCCCAGCCAGCCCTTGGGTCTGTTTTTCGGCTACGATATCCTGTACTTCTGTGAGTTTCGCTATGCGAGCGGTCCTGACATGCTTCTCAGTGGCTCTCCAGTTAGTGTTGGGGGCTCGGAGAGTCAAGTGCTGGTGCATCAGTCGGGTCAGCTGAGTCAAGTTCCAAGAACAAGAAAGCATGACGGTGTGAGACTCTGGGAGCTAATCGGTAGGACTGGAAATAACACGGGGAGGCATTGCCCTTGTGTGTTTGAGGCTCAAGTGCAGCGGTCTTTTTGAATCATAGGCCACTTTTGTCCCCTGTGAGCTAATGCTGTTTTTGAGACAGGCTCATGCCGCTAGTTGGAAAGGGCGGGACTCTGGTTCTCTTTGACTTTTATTTTAAATCAAGGTCAGAAACTTACGCCCTGGAGATGAAACTGAACTACTGCTTGATTTAGACCAGACTATGATGTTCTTCTTAACTGGGTTTTGGCTCGATCTCTCTGATTCTTAAAATAGAAATGTATGCATATATTATGTTATTGTTAATCATTCACAAGTGTGGCTATGGATTCGGTGGTAGAAAGATTTTTATATTGAATGAGCAACAGATTGTTCTTAACCCCGTGACTGGCCTTTGGTGGTTACTTTTTGCTTGTGTGCGCCTCATGATTGGTGTCATTTTGCTTTGGGGAGAGGGCAAGATAGAGCCTCTGTACCTTTGCCTTAACCCGAAGCTGCAAAGCCAAGTGGGACAGGATATACTTTGACTCTTTCTTCTGTGTTCATGAAGATGGAAGGGGAAGGCAGGTACGAATGGGAAGTGTTTACTAAAATAAGTATTGGGAACTTTGTTCCGATCAAGGAATTTCTTTTGAGACAACCAAGTAAAATGGCTAACTCACTGGCTCTGTTGCAGTATGTGCTTTAGTAGAATTTACAGGGCGTTTGTTAAAATTGCAGATTCCTTAGTCTTAGCCCTGGAGATTCTCGTCCAATAGATCTTGAAATGGGGCCCGGAACCTGTATTTTAATCGGGTCCTTGGGTGATTCTGAAATGTACTCCGAGAAACTCTGGGTTAATCCCAGCCCTGTCCCTCCTGGGACTTCAGGTGGCGATGACATTTTCTGGATCTGGCGTTAGCACGGATTAGGAACCAGTTGGCCAGCCACAGTTTTGGCATGGCTCTTGCTGTTCTCGACCCAGCTCCAAGCTCCGGGCTGAATGGGTCCTTGTTGACTCCTTTGAAGCCACATATCAGGCAGCTCTTTATTCTTTTTAGAGGCTGAGGATAACATTTGGAGTGTGTTGTCAAGTGTAGGTGATTGCCCAAATTATGTTAAGAGCAAGGAAAATAAAGGTGCCCACTGGGTGACTCCTGCCACCAAGAATGCTATTGTTACTGAAATGACACCACTATCATTCTTGGGGCCTTCTAGAGAAGCAATGATGAGGCCACTTGCCTGACTTTGGGAGAGTCCAGTCTGAAGGTGACTCTTCACATGGCCAGATGGTGCCTTCAGTGACCTTCAGGTGCTATGGCCACCCCTCCCCCTCCCTCCTCCTTTCCAGCTACCTCTGGGCCATTCTTCCAGCCACCATCTTGAGAACCTGACCTCAGGGAGCTGGAAAAGGGAGTGGTGTTCCCATCTCTATTATTAATTTTTTTTTCTAATAGGGGAAAATGCTACCTTCTGGAGGAAACCTGCAATTTGGTGTAGCTAGACCATTGGCCCATAATGATGTCATCATCTTTTTTTCTGCCACTATTACAATGCTCTTTTTTTTAACTTAAATATAAAAGACACAGCTGCCCTTAAAAATCTCCTTGACTCAACCCTAGTCATCTTATTTTCATTTCTCTTTGACTGGCCTTTCTTCTTTGTCTCCACCTCAGTTGGTCATTCTTGCTATACTTTCCCCTGTAAAACCAAGGGTAACATTAGGTTTTTCTCCTTTTTTCTTCTTTCTTTCTTTCTTTCCTTTATCATAATTTCCCGAGTGCTTGGTCTAACCCAGGTTCCTTGCAAGATAAGACCTGTCACCTTCACCAGTGGTTCCAAGGTTATTTGGCGGTCATCGTTTGGAATGTAGTTGTCTTGGGTTTTAGTAGGGGCAAGTAGAATAAGAGAAGCAGAGGAAGGTGGGCAAATAGCAGTGCCCTGGGAAAAAAAACAGATCTCTGGGAGATTAATTTATTTGGGGGAATGTTGACACACCTCACCTCCTCTTATATGTTAAAATGGATGTGTGATTCTTTACAAAGAGCACTCTGACAGTAAGCATGGCCCCTTTGGTGGGGAAGGAGATTCCTATCAGGTATCTGGATAAAAGAGGGTTATTGGCTGTAGCTGGAATGAGAAGCCCCGTAAAGGCCAGCAGATTGTTGATGACAGAGAAAATACCACAGGGATGCCAAGCATGTCTTTACCTGGCGACAGGTGAGCCTGTAATCAGATGTCTTGAGGATGGGTTCTTCTAGTTATTTGCAAGGCCACTTTTCATGCTGTATTTGCCCAACCTCCTCCAACACACCGGTAACACTGAGCGTCTTCATGATGGAGTTCGAGTGTTATCTTCTTGGCCCTGACCCTCGCCCCTCCCCCAACACACATACACGCAACATCTCACTCAACTCAATCCATCATTGTTCTCTGTTTAGAACAAGAAGAGTTGTGTTTTTTCTTTTCCTTCTTTTCTTTCTTTCTCCCTTTCTTCTTCTTTTTTTTAATCCTGCTGTGAGTTTTTCCTTCTTGACATTTACTAATTTGTCCTGGACTTAACTGTTATGAGACAGACATTTCAGTTTGTTATTTTTTTGAGTCAAAAATACTTTTCTCGGGTAGCTAAGAAGAAATTCCTTGTGTTCATGCCCCAGTAAGCAGGAGTTTTTTGAGGCTCTTTATGCATTTTGATGCTTGAGGAAAGACAAGAGAACTTTTTGGTTGGGAGAGGCAGGTCACACACAGCGTCTCCCTGTGTCCCTTGACAGGGGTTCATCCTGCTTTCAGTGCTGGGGCTCGGATACCATGCCAGCCCCTGGAGCGCCTGAGCTCCTTTGGAATCAGAGTGATCAAGGGGACCAGCCCAGAGAGGGTGTCCTCGTGAGCTTGTCAGCTCTTGTGTAGGTCTCTGGGGCTGCCAGTGGATAGCCTTAGTCATTGGGAGGCAGCCTTTGCACATCCATGAGTTCAAGAGAGGGTTTCACTTTCCTTGTGCCGCACACAGGGGAGAGGGGTGCAGGGGAAATTGAGGAGGTTTGTTCAGGAGGCATGTGCTATTGCTGGGTTTGGTGGATCAGTTTTTCAGTGAGTACATCGACTTCCTTCTCTGGAGCCAAAGTTTCCATAGGGCAGGATGGAGATTTCCCTTTTGCCATAAACAGATAAACCCATCTCCTGGGTAGGGGCTGTGCATTAATGGTTATTAAACACAATGAACCCTGTGAAGGAGGGTTCCACTCCTAGAAGCTCATTCACTGTCTAGCAGCAAAATACCATGATTTTGGAATATTCTCCATCTTTTGGTTCCTCAGGTGGTCTAGTGAGACCTCCCTGGTTCCAGAACACACGTGGGTAATGAGAGTGGCCGTGCATGGCTAACTGGACTCTGCCCTTCCATGTGGGCGCCCCCATTGGCTGTTCTCCCCTCTCAGCCTTCCAAAGACAGGGCAGTGTGAGATCTGATTTGGATTTTGGCTACTGGGATCTTCTAGGAAGAACCAGCCCATCCAGGACCTGTGAGCCATTGCTCTGATGGGTTGATTCATGGAGTCCAGGGAGCAGCATGGGGGAGGCAGAGACCTGGCAAAGGAGAAGAGTGATAAACCACCTCGTCTGATGAATTAAATTTTGAATCCAACCCCTGAAACTCCTTGAACCTTTATCCCAGCCACCTGGTTCGAGGTGGGTGAAAGCATTTTGTTTGGACATCGGGGAATGGTGGGCAGGGCTTAGAGCAAAAAGTATGTTAACTCGGGGCCTTCTCTTCTGGCTTGGGAACGTGGATCCACAGCTTCAGAGTCAGGAATTAGCGTGCACATTCGTCACCCCTCCCCTCTTTGCTTCTGCCTGCCTTACTCTCTGTGAGGTCCCCTGCCTTGGTTCTAATCTAGTCTACTCTAGTATGCAGAGGTAACACTATTTCTTGGTGGCCCTTTAAAAAGAAAAGAAAAAAAACCCACTTCCTTGCTTAATCTCCCCTATAGACTGTAGAAATATACAAAAGGCACATTTCGTTAAAAGCTTGATTTATGGCACGTGTTAAAGAGATTCCAGAAAGTGGGGAGTTGAGTAGAGACTGAAAATACACGCTAGAAGCGTTCCTGTGGGGATTGAGGAGCGGGAAGGCGGTTTATTTTAGGGTGTTCCCATTTATTGTTTGTCAGTAACTTAATGATCGCCACCCATGGAATATTTTTAAATTAGGCTATCTGATAAGGGAAGATCATGATTTTGTGCAAAAAACAAACAAACAAACAAAAAAACCAAACCAAACTCAGTGATAATTTAATAGCGCTGTGTTAGTCAAGGGATTCACAGGTGGACAGTGGGAATTACTTGAGGGGCATGTTCGGAAGGAAAGAAGGTCCAGCAAGATGCAACGTTTCATGGAGGAATCGCCAAGCCCCGGAAACACGTTGGCTCACAGCAGAAACGGCATGAAGAGAAAGCCAGCCATGGTTACAGTCCCAGAGGGGATTTTAAAAGCTTAATAAAAATGCATGGAGGTAAAATTAAGATAACACCTCCATGGACAGAGTGACCAAATTCTAGTCTCTCATACTTCTGGCATTTTCTTACCTCTTTTCCCCCTTTCTGCTTTTTACAAAAGTATTTTCCAGATTTATACATTGAATCTAAACCTCCACACTTAATCTGGACAGAACTTTCATAAGTAATCATTTTCGTAAACACGATTTTCAGGTTTTTAATAGTAATGATAACAACCAAGTTCGTCAAGGGTTTCCGTTTTAAAAGCTTTCACATGAAAACCTTGTCGAGGTTGTTTGGAGGAAGATGTGTATGTGTGTGAACTTTCGCCATCGGTTTGTGGGCAAAGATTGCTCTCGGGTCATAGGTTAGCCGCAGAGCAGTTAACGTCTGACTGAACGTTAGGTTTTTCTGTTCTTAAGCAGCCTCTGAGCCATATTTGTCATGAGGACGTTCTTATGCTCCAGCTTTCCTCCTGCCCTGGGACTGACCCCTGACTCCGCGATCCTTTATTTCTTGGGTTTGCTCTTTCACTTGCTGGAGCCCCAGCCCGTCCTGGCTGTGAGCAGAGGGTCTCATCGTCCAAACCAGTAAGGCAGTCTCAGCCCTTAATGCCAGTGGGGTTTCGTTCTTTGCGGAGCACGCAGTAAGCTAGCATCTCCCACGCAAAACAGCCGCAGGCTCCAGATCTTCTGGGATCCCCAGAGGAAGGTGCTGGTCATAAGCTCCCTTGGGTCCGGGCAGTGCAGGATTCTGAAAGGGTGCTAGGGAAAGCTGTTGTGGTGTTGGTAGCAAATATTAACTGAGCTCTTAGCAAGTGCCGGGCTGAGCACTAAATGCCTTATGGGTGTGACCTCATTTTACCCTCATGGTACCTCTGTGGGGTGGGAACTGACCGGGCCCCGTGTCGTGAACAGTTAGCAGGGGAAGGGTACCAGCTAGGGTTGACTGCTCGGCCGGGGCCGGTCAGTGGGGTGCCCACATGGGAGGGTGCAGAGATGCCGTAGAACCCAGCATAGTAGCACAGGGGAAGGAGAAGGACGGGGTTCTTGTCATTTCTAACTCATTTTAGAAGTCAAGTCACCGTGTTTCAAACATATTTTTATTGTTAAAGAAGGTGCTTTTTCTAAAACGTAAGAGAAACACATAGGCATGGTAATAAAATTCAAATGGCTCGGAAAGTTCTGAGGCAAGACAAATTCTGCCCCATCCCTCAACTGTTTGAGTCTCTCTCTCTCTGAAGGTGGCCACTCTTAAATCTCTTCTGTATCCTTCCTGAAAGCTTAAAAACGATGCTGTGTTCTCACACCCCACATGGGAAGGCTGCTTTCTTCCATCGTACTGTTAAGTCTTGCCACTAAGAGCAGAGATTTTTGAGGACCTGCCTTTTCACTCAGAGCCATGCCCCCCGTTACTTCCCCATTGGGTTTCCACTCCTCTCTACCGATGGCAGCACACGAGGCACCGATGGTGGAATTCTGGAAATCCTGCGGGGCTGGTAGCGACAGGCTACCTGGCTGGCCTTGCAGAGAGAGTCATGGCGGCAGAATCTGCTAGACCGCGGCCATCTGGGGCCGGTGTCATCTCATCGAGAGGTTGACTTTTACTAGTGTGGTCGGTATCTGTTGCCTGTGATTCTCAGGTACAAGTTCCCGTTGCAGTGAATGGTGATTTTTGCCTCTTCATGGGGGAGAACTTTCCAGAAGAACTTTTTGTCTCTGAAAACACCAGCCTCCTTTTGTATCCCTAGCACATGGCCTTGAGTCAGTGTAGTGCAGTGTGTTGGGCCCCACACACTGGAGGGGTGTTCTAAGTCGTCTGTTTGGCCAGGGTGGGGTCCCTGCCTAGTACCTGGCATTAGTGGGGAGCAGGGGTGGGTTCCGTGAGTTCACACAGTTACCTTTTGTGCTTTCCTCCTTGCTTCCGCCAGCCACGCGAGCATGTGGACACTTGGGTGTGAGGCCTCAGCCTTTGGGAGCCCAGTCTATTCACGAAGTTCTCTCAGCTCCAAAATTAATGATTCTTCAGCTCCTTTTTAAAGAAAAAATTATTTACAGTGCTCACAATAGCATTGCTCGTACTATCTGCATAGTTAAATTTAGGAGTGAGTCTCCCTGTCAAAAGATTGCTCAGAAGGCTCAGAAATGTTCTCTTGTATGTTTTACTTTTATTTTTTAAAGATTTATGTATTTAGAGAGAGAGCGGGAGCGGGGTGGGGGGAGAGGGAGAATCCTCAAGCAGACTGTGCTGAATGGGGAACCCAGTGTGGGGCTCGATCCAATGGCCCTGAGATCGGGACCTGAGCCGAAATCAAGAGTCAGATGCTTAACCGACTGAGCCACGCAGGTGCCCATTCTCTTGTACGTTTTAAAAGATAATAGAGATTCTGGGTTAAAAATCATATACAACTTGATTTTAATACTGACACCAACTCCCTGTTCCTAAAATGATTTTCTCCCCCTCCCAGTCCATTCTTGGGCATCTTCTCGGGTTTCTATCTGCATTAAGGGCAATTTGGGCTTACAAAGGAGAGAATAAAGGTTTTCCAAATAACTTAGTTCCCAGGGAAGTACAGAGGGAATGGTTCAGGCTCTATTTTGTGAATGGTCATCCCAACTAAGTTTGTTCGTCTGCATTCCGTCTTTGGCACCTTAATTTAAAAGGTGTTCGTCAGCACAGCTGGGGAGTACAGTTGACCTGGGCAGTCATGCAGGGGACAGAACCAGGGTGGGAGGGCGGGCCGCTTGGTTGGACCATGTTAAACCTCATGCTCCAACTTTCCTGATTCCCAAGTCTCGTTCATGGTTTAGAATAAGGGGGTGGTCAAGCAGCCCATGGTTTTCCAGGATTGTGTAGTAATTCTCAAATTTGGCCTTTAAGTGGGCACTGCGTGTGTTTTCCTTTATAGAAACCAGCACAGGGAAGGCGCTATATTTAAGAAGTAACCATTTTGTCAGACGCAGACCAAAATGGGTGAGGGTGAATGAGAAAACTCGGGGAAGCCCTTGCGTGCTGCAGGTGGGAGAGGAGCTTTCCCATGTGATTATGAATCAAGGATGTAGTTTTTTGCTCCTTGACTTTTCGTCCCATGTGTTCAATCCACTAGTTTCTGAAAGAGAAGTTGACAAGAGTCCGTTGATTTTCATCGAATGGCCTGGGCATCCGCCAGTTCCCAGAAGGACTGGGGAGAAGCAGAGAATGGCCCCAGTGCCGGGGCCTCAGGTTACGTGGAATTAGGGCACTTAGAGCTACTGGAACGCCCTTCACATTCGAATCCTCGAGCTAGTTCCTTGAGACATTGAGCTTTTCATTCCAAAAGGCAGACGAAATATCGAAGAGCTGATTTTCTCAGGTTTTGTGGAGTTTCATAGGCACAGAATTGATTCATGATCTGAGCTGGTCTGCAGGGAGATTGACCACGTGGGGCTCTGGGACAGGTCTAGGCAAAAAGGCAGTCATGAAGCTCATGGGGTGGTGGCCCTGTCCTCAGGTGCTTGTTCGGAGGAATTGGGTCAGAAGGCTGGCATATGTGGCTCTGGTACCATCTAAAAATGTTTGCAAACCTGGTCTCAGGGACCTAGGATGTGGGTGAAATCTGGTACTGCAAAGAAGGGAGGACAGAGGTGCTGGAATCCAGTGGTTTTGGTCCTAAATTCTTGACTTTGGCCAGCGCTCCCACTTCTGTTCCTTTCTCAGAATCAAACATCTGGCTGGGCTCTGGCCAGCTGCCAGGCTTCTCAGGTAGAGCCAGGATTACATCTGCGTCTTTGTGTTTTGTCTCCAGGTTTCCGCCGAGTCCAGTTCTTCCATGAACTCCAACACCCCGCTGGTAAGGATAACCACGCGCCTCTCCTCAACGGCAGACACCCCCATGTTGGCAGGGGTCTCCGAGTATGAATTGCCAGAAGATCCAAAGTGGGAGTTCCCGAGAGATAAGTGAGTGCTTCTGTTGGACGCATCCCGCAATGGAATTGTAGGCATAAATGGGGATGTTGGCTTGACATGTTCTTTTTCTGGTCCTTAGCTGCAAGGATCATGCAACAGGAGTGGAGTGAGATGCTATTTCTAAATAACCAACTCCTGAAAAAGAAAAGAATGGGTTTTCTCTCTCTCTCTCTCTCTCTCTTTTACTGGTTCTTTTAAAAAGCTGCTAGGCATGGCTGGTCCCCAACCAAGACAGTACCTTGTTAGCACTTTTTTACTTTTTGGATAATTCAAACCCAGTCACATGGACTAAACGTAGGACTAAATCTCATTGATAAAGCAGATATGACATTCCAACTTCTGGTTATTAGAACATGACGGTTCTATAGTTCATTTCTTTGGGGGAAATTAGGTATAAAATACAAATTGCCTGAAGAATCTTCAGTCAGCGTTGCTCTTTTTTAAGGGTTGTTAATGTCCTATGGGGCTGCAAAGGTTTGAATATGGTACCTGACATCACATTTCCTGTGGTCCATAATATTTTCTTTACTGGATCATGTGGAAGCGTTCCAATCAGGTGTTGGTTCAGTCAGAGCATGACCACCTGGGCTCTGTTGAAGGCATTACTGGGAGCTCTTTATCTCTTGATTTGGCTTCAGGTCCATGTATTTGGGCTGTCTTGGGCGGGATTTGAATCCTGGCTCAGCTAGCCAGCGGCTGGGCAACATTGATTCTCTGAACTTCATGTTTATAAAATGATGACCATGGTATAGACCTCGCAAGACCAAGTGCAGTTCTTGGCTCGTGAGTTTCCCCGTCTTGCGTGTCCCTTCATGGAGTGGTAAGCTGGGAGCTCTGAACCACAGACCCCAACAACATGGTGGGGCTAGGCAGAGACTGTGTGAGGCAGATCCTGTGCTTCCAGTCCTCTGTCTTCTGGGCAGAACCAGCACCCAGACCCACCTTCTGAAATAAAGTGTGATGGTCCTTGAAGGCCAGCAGCTCCCTTCTAGGGTACCACTTGTAGTCCCTTGAATCTGAACCTTGGTAGTAGTGGAAGGTGGAAATCACGGACTGTCCGTCTACATCACATCAACTGGAATAAGCTCTTGCCTTGCTTCTGTGTAGCTCCCATTCCCTATTTGTCTTCACATTGTCAGTATCTCCCTGAGATTAGGTCAGAGAGGTGTTTAATTACAATAGAAGAAACTCATCCACAAATGTAGAGGTACCAAGCTAAGCTATTCTAGAGCCTGGGTCTGACGAGCTCTGTTTGGAAAGAGAGGTGGCTTACAGGGCACCGTGATTTTGATCCCACAGCTCTACACTGGCTTTGTTCCCCAAGAGCCAGTTTGGAGATACTAATGTGCATCGTAAGCTGGAACCAAAGCATTGCGCAGGTATCACTCTGTCAGGAGAGTTAATGGAGTGTAGTTGTGCACCGTAGTGGAAAGACCATTCATTCATTCAGGACTTGTTTATTGAACAACAACTGGGAGGCATCAGAGAAAAACACAAAGAATGGTTTCTTTACCTGGAGAGTGTGGAAAGAGAACGGGGTAGTTTCTCCCGAAGCCACCTCGCTCCCTCCTTTGGGTGTACAAGTAGGAGGTCTCCGGCACACATTCTTGTGCGTCTAGGACTGACCTGGGCGGCTGTGATCGCACGTTAAGAAATGACAGCTCTCATGTTCGGGCCCCGTGACGCTGCGGTCAACAGTGGATGTCTGCATGTGCCTGACTGTCCGCTCCCACCTGGGGGGGACCCTCAGTGCGGCAAATGTGAGTGCTAAGCATTTCAGGACGGAGTTGAGCACGGATGTAGGTGGGGCAGATTTCCAGTGAATGAAGGCTATTTAGAAGCAGTTTATTAGATTGGAGGCAGACGTGGCACAAAGAAAGGATTGTTACGCTTGTAGTAACAGGGCAGTAGGACATAAATTAGCCATTTTTCCAATGCAAATGTTTATTTTCTGCCAAGATACTAAATTTAATTTTAGTTCAGGAGAGAAACAGAATGACCTCAGCCAAGCATGTACAGTGCCCTCAGTCTTTGCTTAGCTTTTGTAAACCATTGTGTGCTTACCATAAATACGGTTTATTTACTCATAGGACTGCTAAATACTTTGCTGCGTTATGCTTAAGTGGAAAAAAAAAAAAAAACACATTCATGAGTATTCCAAAGATTTCTCCATTCTGTCGGCTTCTAGAATGTCCAAAGACAGTATGTGGCTATTAGTAGGACGTGCACCGAGCTTCTGAGCTTAGAAATACAGTTTATCATGTTCACTCTGGGTTTTCTTCATTATTAATTTTGGGTAGTTGAGGATTTCTAAACTGTTAGGCCAAAAAAGATTCCCCTCAATTTCTAGAATTGTCTTTGTCCTTTAGGGAAAAATTAGAGATTCCTTGAAATGCGTTTAAGATTCATATCATGTAACTTGGCCAGGAATGTGACCGTAAAATCCACTGGTATTTGAATAATAGTGATTTTAAAGACATCACTTCACAGAGACCAAAAAATAAGAACAGCTTTAACATTTTTTCTTTGAGACATTCTAAATTACGAATATTCAACTGGCCCGAGATCAAAAGCTCCTCGTTGTTAGCACTTAGGAAAGCTGACCACCTCACTAGCAAGGATACCTTCCACAAAGAAAATAAATCGTGAACACAAATGTGAAACTTAATAGCTGTCCCGCCCGTAATTGACATTCTCTACAACGTCACTAAGAAAATACTCAAGCGTGTGTATACCCCCGGTCTCATTAGTTCCATATGATAAATGCTCCATGCTTTTGCAAGCCGCTGAAAGATTTTTATATTTAGTTCTGGAATTTCCCCTTCACCAGATGCTGTGCACTAATCCCCTATTTACACATTTAGGCTGACGCTGGGCAAACCTCTGGGGGAAGGTTGCTTTGGGCAAGTGGTCATGGCTGAGGCGGTGGGAATTGACAAAGAGAAGCCCAAGGAAGCAGTCACTGTGGCCGTGAAGATGTTGAAAGGTGCGCGGGGAGGGGGACGGGTGGGTGTTGGGGCGGGGGAGTCTTATCAAGAATGTTCCTTTTGTGGCATGTGAACTCTATCATGGCAGGGGGTCAGAGAGCACATAGTTGACCTAGGGGTTGAGAAGTTTTCAGTATAAATCAGCATCCTGGACAGATGATTTATCTTGAGCTGCGTGCACTTACAAGAAAGAAAAGCCAGTTTTGTTAGAAAGGGGTAGCCTCCCAGGTTGTTCTTCGTCAGCTCCTTGTTGATGGCCGCGATTTTTTTATTCCCTCTATATTTGTATGTGCTTAGAAATATCAACTCACCCATAATTGGTTCATTTAGATGAGTCTTGGTATGCTGAATTTGGGATGCAAGCCTCAACTTAACAAATAAAGGAGGGTTGGCCTCTGGGAGGGAGGGAGGAGGCGTGGGGAGAGGAGGACACACCTTCTCTTTTGTAAGAGGAACAAAGCAGAATTGACACTGGTCTGGGAGAAGCCCTTAGAAAGCTAAAAGGGAAGGAGCAGAATCGGTGGTGGGATTGGTGGCCGGGCAGAACCTTCTGGAACATGTGAACAGTTACCCTGGGATGTGAACATCGCCTGGCATTCGTGGGATGACTGCCCAGCCCTGCTTCGTGCCAGTGTCCAAGGAGCTTATAGTACTTCAAACGTCAGCTTCCTCCTCCGTAGTATTCGTGTAGGAGAGGAGATCTAAGGGAATGGTTCCGTTATAAACCCTATCGTAGGGAACTGAGAAAGGACGGAGTTTTTCCCATGTGTCCGGGCAGAGATGCCTGTCTGTTCTTAGATGCTGGTACCGACCCACTGTGGATGCTCCTGGAGTTAGGCTTTTTCTTTTCTTTTGTGGGCTTCATGCAATGGTCGTCCTGTCCCTCTCCGAGTGGAGAGGTAGCAGGGTGGAAATAGTCCAAAAAAAAGAATTTTGTAAAGATGTTGATCTGAATGGCTCCCAAGGAAAGCTTGGGTGTTTTGAGCTCCTCACCTTGGGATTTGATGCGAGGGAGGCGTGTGCCCCACCAACAGAGGTGGCCCTCTGGCTTTTGTCCTGCATGGCCGGGGTCTGCCTGTGTGCCCTTGCCCCCCTGTGCGGCAGGTGTAGGGGGCTGCGTGCCCCAAAACAGCCACCTCAGCAGCCCCTGGCCACGGACCGGGGCAAACGTGGGGAAGGCCCAGGCTTCCAGCCTCTTTTGGCAAGAACTTCTTGTTTGGTTTTTGGAGCTCAGAATTGGAGGTCTGGGCATTTATTTCTCTGGATATACTCAGACTGGCCTTCCCTTTCAGGATGGAGAAGGACATCAGCCCCGGAGCCCTGTGGGGGCCCTGGTGATTTTTATAGCCAGTGAATGGCTCACCGCAGAAGGACAGCCCTCCCTGGGCTCTGTGTGCATCTTACCTTCCAGCCAATTACATTGCTCTTTCGCTTGTGAAGTTAAAAAGCTTTTTGCCACGTGGCTCCTATGCATTTCCTTATTTCATTTTTTTAGTAAATGCAGTTTTCCGTATCGAATTATCTCAAAGGGAGGCACGTGGGGAAGAGTCTTGCCACCTTGCCGAAGCTATGAGCCCATGAATGTGGGACCTAAGCTGTTTTTCTTGAAATTAGAGAGCAGACATTTATAAAACTTTTTTTTTTTTAGGTTGGGAATCACAGCCCCCCCTTGGAGAAGCCCACAGTCGAAGGCATGAACCTTTGCCCACTCAGAATGCATGTGCACACACACACACTTTTGTAAACACTTACGAGGTGTCCCCTGAACCTGTCTGTGACTTCTATAAGGGCTCAGGTTAGCGGCATTTGGTCTGGAGAAAGTCTGTAGTGAATTGAGATGCCCCATCTTCCCCTCCTCTTCCTTTCTGTTGTACTCACGGTTGCTTTCAGGCACCTTGAAGTCTGATACGGTTTTTTGGAGGCACCATAGATCTGTCAGAGGATGGACTTACTTCACGATAAAGTTAAACACCCCCACACTCGTGAGGGTTGCTAGAAAAGAATTGGCCTCAGCATAAGAGACCTATATTCTCGTCCTGACTTTTGACCCCATTGACCCCAAATTAGCTATTTGACACAGATCAGGGCAGTTCCCCGTCTGGGCCTTTGCCCCCTTACCAATAAAATGAGGGAGGTGATTTGGAAAGTTTTCTGGTTCTAAAATTCAATTTCATGCTGTTTCCACTAAGTTTTTGGCAACTAGCAGCGGCTGTCAATGGGTTAGAGAAAACTAAATGGTTTTTAATTTACCTAATGTTTGTAGATGATGCCACAGAGAAGGATCTTTCTGATCTAGTGTCAGAGATGGAGATGATGAAGATGATTGGAAAACACAAAAATATCATAAATCTCCTTGGAGCCTGTACTCAGGATGGTGAGTAGGAGGAAAAAATGCTTTCATCCAAATAATTTACACTTGAATGTTAACATCATTTTAGAAACGGTTGGACTTTTGGATCTTGCTCCTAGGGCACGTCAAGTGCATGTTTAAAGTTCTCTTTAAAATCCCCTTAGGAAGATGTTCCTGGCCATGAACACAAAGGGGACTTTGTGACCGTACTGGGGGATTGGGGAAAGGTAGGCGTTGGGTGGCTTTGGATGGGAGGGCCTTCTAGAGTCCTGCTGTTTTTAGGGCATAACCTGGAGGGTGTTTAGAAAAGACAGTCTCCTTATGTTTTTGTTTTTGTAGTGCTAAGAGGGATTTCTCAAAATAAGACCCTATGGGGGACGCCTGGGTGGCTCAGTCCGTTAAGTATCTGCCTTCGGCTCAGGTCATGATCCCAGGGTCCTGGGATCGAGCCCTGCATCGGGCTCCCTGCTCGGTGGGGAGTCTACTTGTCCCTCTCCCTCTGTTTCTCCTTCTGCTCATGCTCTTTCTCCCTCTCTCTCAAATAAATAAAATCTTAAAGAAAAAAAAAAGACCCTATGTTATGGTTGACAGATCCCTTAAAATGGGGATTACAGAAGCCATGTCTTGCTATGGACAGCAATGGCTGAGCTCCCAAGAATAGTGCAGGGGAGGGAGAGAGTAGAATGAAGGGACATGTTATCTTCCTTGGGGGAGAGGGAGCATTGACTTCTCTCATTGGAGAGCTAACTGACACTTCGGGAATCAGTTTGATAATTAATAAACTTGAAGAAGCCTGTCTTTGCCTCAGCCATTTCTCCTTGAGGCCTCTACCAGGAGTCGGGAGACTTTCTGTGAAGGGTGATTGTCAGTAGTTTTGGTCTTGTGGCCTTTAGGGTCTTTGTGGCAACTAGTCATCTTTGCCATCGGAGCGAGAAAGCAGCCACAGACAATACAGAAATGAACGGGCCTGGCTGTGTGCCAATGCAGTTTAATTACAAAAACAGGCAGTGGGCAGGATTTGGCCTGCAGGCTGTAGTTTGCCAACCTCTGGTCTATGCCATGGAGAAAGGATTGCACGTGTGTGGAAGGAGACATACACAGGAATGTTCGCCGTGCACAGTTTGTTACAGGCCAAACCTGCAAGCGATGTAAATGCCCATAAGCATAGGCAAATGAGTAAATAAAATGTGGCATGTTTACATGATGGAACATAGGTAGCTGTTAAAAGGAATGATCTAGATTTATTTTTATCAGCCCGACTGGGTTCCAGGACGATAACGTGTAGGGGGAAAATGTTGCAAAGCTGTAGCTTTATTATTCATATATGTGATTACAAATAATAATGTTCATTGATACACATATGTATGTAAAATGGTTAAAATGAACTGGAAAAGGCAAAATTTATAGTAAGCATTGCTCTGCAGGAGGGCACAGGGGAGCCTGGAAGTGACAGGGGAAGGACACTCACTGCATCTCTGTCTATTCCTCTAAGACTTTTGAGGCTGTCTTGACCCAAGTGTCGATGATCATTTTGGGGGAGATGAGAATGTAGGTGTTCTATTTTTGTGTGCGCTTTTCTTTATGTTTCAATTTAAAAAAAAAAAGAAAGAAAAAGTAGTGGGTTGTAAGAAACAAAACGTGGCTGAGCTTCCCCGGGGCGGATCTGGGTGCGTCTTCTCAGCGAGCTTGCCCTCTCCATCCACAGGGCCTCTCTACGTCATCGTCGAGTATGCTTCCAAAGGCAACCTCCGCGAGTACCTCCGAGCCCGCAGGCCGCCCGGGATGGAGTACTCCTATGACATTAACCGAGTTCCCGAGGAGCAGATGACCTTCAAGGACTTGGTGTCCTGCACCTACCAACTGGCGAGAGGCATGGAGTACTTGGCTTCCCAGAAAGTGAGTCCTTCACATTCTCCTCAGTTGGGTGGACTCCAGTTAAAAAGATCTGTGAAGAAAACAGGCAATTTGGACGAGCTCATTTGCTAAATCAAGCCCTTGCATGTCTTGTACAACCTGGAAAATATTTATTGCGTTACTCACATGGGGGTTTGGTGAACTCTTTAAAAGCCAGAGAAGCCTGTCGTGACACCGCGGAGATGAGCAGAAAAGCTGTCTCTTCTCCTGGGATTCTGCTCTCGGTAGGGAACAGCTAGGTTAGGGGGTGCTGTGTTTAATTCTGATGAGTTTTGGGGGCTTTGTTTTGGGATGCGTTTTTGGACATAGACTTGGATGTTGTGTTTATGGCTTTAAGCTTGAAAGGGCCTTCAATATTCTACGAATAAAGATCAAGCAAAGTGGTATTTTAGTAACACTGAGTCCTGGGTATCATCTGGGTTTATTTTGTCTCATTTAGCGGGGTGACCCTCTGGCTCGAAGTTGGCCAGGTCCCCTGAGGTGAACCGTCTGCATTCCAAGCATGCCGCTTGCAATGGAACTTTAAACATCTGAGTTATTCTGAAAGCAGTTAGGCAGGTGCCCCGATGTCCTCTGGGGCGTTTCGGATGACCCAAGACACCCTGCCTTAGCTCACACTTCGGGGGCGGGGGGGTTGCAGAACTTCCTCCTTAGGCAGAGGTGGGGTCCGTTCTACTGCGGTGGAGCTTGGTGCCGATCTTTGGGTCCCCAGAGAAGTGAGATTCTCTTGTGGGCGTGGACCCCTTGTCGCGGGGGAGCCCAGGCTCCAGGCTGGGTCATGGCTCTGCCCAGTCGCAGGAGTAAGGGATCCGACCACAGGGCATCAGGGGTGTGGGGGGGGCTGCCGCTCAGCTCCTGCTTCTGTGGCCGTGTTGGAACATGGCCAGAGCTCCCACACATTCTGTTTTTTGGTCTGCTTTTTATTTTCCTTTTTGTTTGGTTTTTATTTTCAAGAGAGGCCAGAGTTGAAGACTTTTTCAGATTCTGTTTTTCCCGTAAAAGCTCTTAACCTGTAGGTTTTAGAAAGCAGTTTTGTGCCTGAGATTGTGTACGTGTGCAGGAATACAGGCCAGCTGAAAAGGTCTCTGACGTGAGGAAATGGATCAGAGCCAGAATGTGGGACATTTGACAAGACATCGCTTCAAAATGTCCGCGTCACTAGAGACAAAAACCACTGGGGAGACAGTTCCAGATTAAGGGAGGCTTAAGAGACAGGTGGAAAACCCTGTGTGCATGCGTGACCCTGGACTGGGCCTTGTTCAGGGTTGGGGGGGTGCAGCTTTTATAAAGAACATTTAGGAACAACTGAAACTTGAATCGGGTCTACATTAGATAATATGATTGGATCGATACTAAATCTGGGGGTGGTGATAGCGGTCCTGTGTTAAGGTAGGAGATGTTTGCTCACGTGTTTAGGTGTGAGGTGTGCAATCACTTTTAAATGGTTCAGGCGTACAAAGTATGTGTTTTGGGCTGGAGATTGTGTGTGAAGAGAGAGCCGGCATGACGGGCGATCCCAGCACACACGGACCATCACTGTTCTGTTTCACCTTTGCTGTAGCTTTCCCTAAACCCTAGGGAGCGTGGCCTGCCCCAGGGCTGGGGCAGGGGGAGGGCTGGCCACCCCCCAGGGCCCGGCCCCTCTGTACCCTTCCCCGTGTGGGAGGGGGGAAGTGTTTTTTGGACGCAGCAGGGCTCTGCTGTTAATACAGAAGCAGTAGGAAGGCCGGCTTGGTCATTTTATTAATCCTTCAAGCGAATATTCCAGAGCGCTCCTGACTCTGGTGCTTCGTGCCCCAGGTCAGGCTCCCGTAGCGGGTGGCTGCAATGGACGGAGTCCTTGGACCTCTTGGAGCAGGAACCTCGGGTGACAGCAGGAGAGATCAACAATAAGCGTGGGAATAAAAATAAAGATGGGAAAGGGTGAGAGGTGTGAGAGGCGTGCTGTGCAGGAAACAAATTGTGGGAGGTCAGTGGGGGGTTCAGGGGGAAAGGTGGCTGGTGAGCACCCCCCCGGGGGGACAGTTGTGTGCAGCTTCTGAGGAGGGACACAGGGTGCGGAGAGCAGGGTACGAGATGTGGCTGAGCTCATTTGGGGCCTCGTGGACCCAGGCCAGGCCTCCAGACTGCGCTGTAGGCTGCGCTCTCGGCCTGTGGCAGGCCACCGAGGTGGGGGTAACGGGGTCAGGTTTGTGCCACAAAGCTCACTCGGTCTTGTGCTGCTCAGCAAGCTTGGTGCTGGTGTTTTGGGCTAGGGTTTATTGGCTCCCACAAGGCACTGGATAAGAAGATTGATTTTGGACAGATTTTGCTCTTGGGATAGTTAGTGATTTCCAGCCTGAGAGATCGGATGGTAGCGCAGCTGATCAGGATAAGGAAGACTCTGGGGTGGGAGGTGGTGGGAGAGGGTGGTGGGAAGAGATTCTGGTGCACAGTTCAGGATGCACTTTGACCACGTGTGAGAGCCCTTCAAGGGCCAGTGCGGGGCAGGAAGCTCTGGGGGCCGGGCTGAGACCTTGGGAGCCAGCAAAGGAAGTGCAGTTCCAAGGCATGGGAGGTCATCTAGCCGGGGAGAGGCAGAGAAGAGGGGGAGTAGAAAAAGCTCTCAATTTCTGGAGCTTGGCGCAAAGCACCTGATGGCAGTGGAGGCTGAGGGGACACAGAGAAGCAAGAGGAAAGGCAGGATGTGGTTCACAGAGGCCACAGGACGGGTTTCAGGAAGGCGGAGTGTCATTCTCCTCAGAATGGGAGAGAAGAACGTGCCTTGCACCTGGCTCATGGAGCCCCTGTGGACTCCCCATTGCTCCCCAGCCCCGAGGACTCTGAGATCCTTCCTCTTTTGGAACTGTTCAGAATAGTGAAGAGGGAACTTTGTGAAAGGGGGCAATTCCCATTATTAATCCGTACCAGTTTTTGAGAGCTCAACATCTGCCAGGCACAGGGTGAGTGTTTTACATACAGTATCATCCATAACCTCAGAACACTTCTGAAGTAGGTGCGATTTTAGGATAAGGATGCTGAGGACCGTTGGGAGGTGCCAGGACACCTTTGAGCCAGGTGTGCCTGAGTCATTGTCCTCATTTCCAAGATGGGGACTCCTAGGTCCACAGAGAAAAGTCGCTGGTCCCAGACCTGGCCCTTTGGTTCTCCACTCACCCACCCTGCGCCCCAGCCTCCCCCACCCCGCTCTCAGGTAATCCCTGCCTCACTCTGGATGGTGGGGAGGACCGATAAGATGCCTTGTGTCAGGGCGTTGCTCACAGACACAGAGTGGGCCAAAAGGGACGGAGCTGTATGTCCTTAGGGCCTTGAAGGGTCCCAAAGCCCTTTGTAGAAGATGGCCTGCAGTTGAAGACGTAGAACAGGTTTGAAACTGGCCGTAGATGAGGATCTTAAGAATGGTCCCCTTGAGTGGAGCCTGCTTCCAAAGATGGATGGCTTATTCCTGACAGTGGAGTATGAAGAAGCAGGGCAAGGGCCTGCTCACACTCACGCCGCCGGCGATGAGCTTGCTGGAGGCCCGCTTAAAAGAACTGTTGAGTGAGCTCTCTGGCTCATTACTGATGGAATGCAATAATGAATTCGGCTCAGTAAACATTGACTGGGTCAGGCTCTGTGCTCGGTGCTGGGAATATAGAGATGAACACGCAGGGCCTGTCCTTGAGCCGCTTAAATATGTGCGTGCGTGCCCGCATGTGTGCAAGTATTTGTGGGGAACTCGGGGGGGGGGGCAAGTAAAGAAACACCATGATGTATACAGAACACAGCAAGGTAATATGGGGTATTTGAACCTTATACAAATTATGAAAGCTTTGCTGTTTTTAGTTCAAAGTACACTAATTTTCTTTTTTACCAAATCCCAAAACCAGTTCAGCTTACTCCAAGGTGTTAAACCTGAGTGGGTGTTGTTTTTGTTATTTAAAGCAGGCTCCAGCTTCCCCATGTGTGAAATGGGTGCAACCATACCCATGAGATTGCCATGGGAATTTAATTCTATCGTCTGGGCCATAGGGGTGTTAGTCTTCCTTCCCTTAGTGACCCGTGGATCTCCGCTTACTTAAGAAATGGATACCAAATGGTCTGAGGGCCCTAGTTATGTAAATGGTCAGCTCTGCCCTGGAAAACAGCTCTGATTTCTGCAGATGATGGGAATTTGGCTTGATGTTAATTATTTTCTTTTTCTGGCGTGTTGGTTCCAAGTCTCTTACTGTTCAGCCCAGAGGGTGGGCGTTCGTGTCTGCTAGCATCGTGGGATGTGGGAGGTTGGTGCTCGATCCTGGCTCTTGCCAAGATGATGATGGAGGTCACTGTCGTGGTATCTCTGAGTTGAGCCCTCATGTGTGGTGGGAGCCCAGCGTGTGGGAATCCAGATTCTTCTGACCACACAGCTTGCCAAATGCACAGAGCTCATGTCGGCAGGGAGCACGCCGCCGGGAGAGTTTGGCCGAGGGCTTGGAAGTTCAGTTTGAAGAGGCCTCCAAACTAGGAGCATGGCTCCCGCCCCGGCCGGATCCCCAGGCGGCTTCTGGAAGCTCTCACATTTCCTGCTTCCATTCTGGCACAGGCATACCTACTTGTGGGGTTTTCCTGCTCTCCCTTTCCTGGTCTTCACCCATCCAGGCGGCCACAGAAGCGTCTAAAAACAAGGAATCGTTGGGCGGTGGGCTGGAAAAAGTAGCTCCTAATTTATTCTTCAGAGAGAGTGTGGCTTGCTCCTTTTTATTGGCCGTGTCGTGAAGTCCCTAACTATAGCCAGCCCCATTTCACCCTTGTCAAGTGGCTTGATAAGACTCTCTCCTTCATCCAGTAGTTAACACACGAGGCTGTGTCCAAGCATTTGGTAGAGATATTTGTTCACTTCCTTAGACCTTGCCTTTTCCAAAAATAGGGGCTGATGATTGGGGAATTCTCATTACCATGTATCATGATGAAATCTTGTGACATTGAAGTATAACACTCTACAAAAGTGTATCATTTGTAGAAAGGAAAAATGGGAGTTACAATGACCAGACCTTTCTGAGACCGAAGAGTATCAGAACTATAAATTAGCTGCCCTCTGGTGAGCATGTCTGCATCCCCCCCACCCACCACCCTTCCCCACCCCCCAGGTATTTTGTGTGGGCCAGTGTCCTCCGGGCCTGGGCCTGGGCCTGGGCCTAGACAGACAGGCGTTGGTCATGATAAAAGCCGGGAAAGGACATGGTCAGTTCTTAGAAACACAACTTGTGGGGAGCGTAGCAGGTGCAGCGGGGCTGAGCTTGGAAGCGCAGAGACCGGTTAGGCAGGCACTGTGGCTCTCCATGGGGCTGGGGGTGGGCAGTGGTGATGTCCTGGGCTAAGTGTGGTTAGTAGTGGGGACACAGCGGGATAGACAAATTACAGAGGCAGGTGGGAGTCAGCGTCCACAGAATTTGGGAGTACTGTGCCAAGAATTCTGGTGTATACTTCTTGGCCTGAGAGAGACCCAAGAGGGTAAGAATTAGGGGAGCAGAGACCTTGAATTTGAGGAGCCAAAGGGATGTCACAGTGGAAATGTCCCATAACCTGTGGAAGATGACAGTGAGGGTCCCAGGAGAGAGGTAGGAATTTGCAAATCCTTTGTGTGTATCTAAGAATAGAAGCCCGGGGGATATGTGGAAATATACAAAATTAATGGGACATTTCTCCTATTTTGAGGGACAGGGGAAGAGAGGAGCTGGATTGAGAGGGTGAGCCAAGAGAAGGGAGGGGATAGAACTCAAGGGGGTGGGGGTGGGGACCGTTTTTTTAAAAAGGAGCATGCAATCAACAGAGTCCAGAGCTGCAGAGGGTAACATTGAAGCATTAGAAGAGCTCACTTGGGTCTGACAAGAGGTTCCTCATATACTTTTGGGAGGGGCAGGGATGGAAACAATGTTTGCGGATGGACCAGGAGGTAAGGAGGAAGTGGTGTTGGAGTTTAACCAGCTCTTCTGAAAGTCTGGCTGTAAAGGGCGGGGGAGTTAAGTGTTGAGATAAAAGATTTTAGAATAATCTAGCACAGATCTCCTGCTAGGAAGGACGCCAGTGTTGTTGGTCATTTGCAGGTAAAAGAGAATTGGCTGCTTGGTGTCTCTTTGCTCTTTGAAATGATTGGGGCCTTGGTTTTTTAGTTACTTTTAATTAGAAAAGGAATACCATTTTTTGACTTAAGATGTACTTTCTGTCTGCATTGTAAGAAGTGAGTATGTTTTCTCTTTATTCTTGAAACATTTTGAAATGAGTTCTTTCTTGATTTCAGTGTATTCATCGGGATTTAGCTGCCAGAAATGTTTTGGTAACAGAAAACAATGTCATGAAAATAGCAGACTTTGGACTGGCCAGGGATATCAACAATATAGACTATTACAAAAAGACCACAAACGTAAGTCTATGGCAGCACTGTGGTGGAAGGGACGGAGGGAGGGATGGTGGTGGCACGGAATGTTCCAGATGAAAGATAGTAGGCATTTATTCCTCTGCCCTTTATCTCTGTTCTTTTGCTGTATTCTTGACAGACTTCTCAATAAGCAAATTTTAGCTGTATTTAAGATACTTTTAGTAAATGTGAAACAGTCTTGTATATAGAATGATCGGCAGCCTCTCTGGTCTTCATCAGGCTCTTTGTCAAGAACTTCCCTAGCCAAGACTAGAGCTTGGGAGTTTCTGGATTAATTTTTGCCTAGAAGGTGGTCAGGGTGTGTCTGTGTTCGAGGGAGATCGAGGATGATGAGAGTCCAAAGAAACGGCATTGTACTCATGTGCCCCAATCTGTGCATCTTACATGTTATGTGTAGGCCCTGCTGGACCTTATTTCTGCTCTCATGACTGACCAGTGAAAATCGTTAGTATCAGCTCTCAAATAGGGCACAGCCTGTCGAGCCAGCAAAAGTAAACTGGTTTTAATCTAGTGGTTTTTACCTTTTCTCCCCCACACTTGCAGGGGCGACTTCCAGTCAAGTGGATGGCCCCAGAAGCCCTTTTTGACCGAGTGTACACCCACCAGAGTGACGTGTAAGTAACTCCCTTCTCTCTGGCTTCGCCATCGGGTTGAGCTGCAAAAATACGGTATTCATCTTTCTTCATTCTTTGGTGTCTGTTGTATTTCACACGTTGATAGAAGGTGCAGGAGCCGGCCTTAGAAAGGACGGATTTTATGGTAGGCTGGTAACCAATGCGCTGTTACTAATCTGCCCAGCTTCAAAGTGCACGGGAGGTGTAACTTCGAACCTCGTCCCGCCAGGGCGGAAGTGCCCCCCCACCCCAACTTACTCACGGATCCACGACTACAAAGCTGCTGTCTCATTTGCCAGGCCATTGGCATGTTCTTTGCTCCCTGAAAGAAGGAATTTTGAAACTTTTCCTACTTGAGGGTGGTTTGTCATACTCCCCCCATCTCAGGTTTGTCCTGAGGGGGACAGGCTGAGTGGGGCAGAGTCTGCTCAGGTGATCTCCACGGGGCCCGCGTGTTCTGTTTATCCTTTGAAAAGGTCTGATCTCGGCCTGGCACCCTTGATGACATGACAGAAGCAGTGAAAACTATATAATATTCCCATTATGATACACTTAAAAATACTAATTTCCAACGCTAAAATTCTAAAATACCAGTTGGAGGGGCAGGCTCCAACTGATATTTTAGAATTTTAGGGTTGGAAATTAGTTTGGAAGAAGTTACCCTGGCGGGAAACCGGGGGGAAGGTACAGAGCATCTCTCTGTACTGTTTTTTTCCAAGTTTCTGTGAGTCTATAATTAGTCCAAAATAAAAAGTTAAAAAAAAAAAACAATCAGTTGAGCCATTTTTATTTACATGACCAGGTGGCTCCCCGGGGCAGGCATGGTGTCGCAGCCGGGCCCCTTTAGCAGTCCTTGAAGGAAGGTGTTACAAGTCCCAGTTTTGTAGGGAGTCAGCTGCCTGCGTTGTGCTCCCACTTTTGCCCTACAGAAAACTGGGGAGAGTTTCATTTCTCACCCCAAACCCGAAGAGAGTCAGGAAGGGTGTGTGTCAAGAGCCTCAGTGATATAGGTAAATGCAGGAGTCTTGGCTCCATTATCCCAGGAACTGTGAGTATCCGGAACGAGGCTCAGAAAGTCCAGCTGTGGGTCTCCGTGAGGTCAGGTACCCATGGTCCCCTGAGAGAGGTTTTCAGTTTCTGTTGTAGGAAACTCGTCTGGGGCACGGGATTCCATCATCCTCATCCCAGCCTGATGCCCACTCCCTTCATGACCCTAGTGAGTCATGAACCTTTTGTGCTCTCAGATGCTCCAACTGGCCACACTGGGCAGCTGTTTACCTTGCAGAATTGGCTTGCAGGCCTCATTCGGTCAACAGCCCATACTGGTGGGTCACAGTCCAGGGGGGTCAGGCACAGAGGCTGTTGGAAGAGCTGGACGGGAGCATGAAGAGCTTTGCAGCTTAGGAGCTGAGATCCTCACGTTGCTAACACTGCATTTAAGGACGAGTAACTTCATTTGAGAGTGTCAGAATGAAAAAGCAACCACCCCAGATCTCTACCAGAAAAAAAGACGGATGGTTTCCCACCCCGACTCTGTTGTCTGTTGATGGAAAATTCCATGGGAACATCCCTCCCGTTGTCCTCATTTGGGGAGGATGCTCCTTCGGGGCAGGGAGGGGCCTGTGGGATGAACTGCCGGAGGGTTCAGGCCATTTGTCTTTGAACATGAGAAGTGAGTGGGCGTGTACTTTATTCACTGGGCATATTTGGGTTTTTGGGATTCAGGTGGGTTGGTAACACTGTTTTCTCTCTTCCTTGCAGGTGGTCCTTCGGGGTGTTAATGTGGGAGATCTTCACGTTAGGGGGCTCACCCTACCCAGGGATTCCAGTGGAGGAACTTTTTAAGCTGCTTAAGGAAGGACACAGGATGGATAAGCCAGCAAACTGCACCAATGAACTGTAAGGACCGTTGTCTCTCCTGATACCCAGCGGACCCACCATGCCATTAACTCTTCTCCCGACTTATTTCGGGTTTCCCAAGGCCCCGGGTTTTCCATACAGGCCCTAAGAAGAATTACTGCTGAAGCTTTCTGGGCTCAATCCCAGGACTGGGGTGGATGGCCACACTGACGGCCATAAGAGAGAGAACATCATCCCGAGGTGTATGGACTGAGCTTTAGATCAGGGCATTAGGCTTCCTGGCTGAGGGCTTCTGACTTTCGAGAGTGAGACGCAGCGATCTCCCTGGGCCACCGTGCTGTGCTTTGCTGTTGTCTCTCCTCAGACGGACGGGGAGAAAGATCTGGCCTTTTCTCATACATAAGCTGGAAAGCCGTGGGCCTGCCCGGCCTTTCCTTACGGCCTTTCCTCACGGCCTTTCCTCACGGCCTTTCCTCACGGCTTCTGCCCCCAGCCCGGCCAGGGGGCATGGGTGAACACTGAAAATTGCTCTTCTAGATTGGCATTGACCACATGTCTTCAGAGCAAACTGGTGTCTGGTTACCTCTGTTTTACCCATAGTTTAGCACAGAGAATTGAGAATGTGTCCAGGTGCCATCCTTAGAATCCCAGATCTGGCTATAAAACCATGAGCTGGTTTCGAGAAAAGCCTACCCCACACTTCAAGTGGAATTATGTTGTGTTTGTGACATGCGTCTTGTGCAGTAGAATCAGTGCTTTGAAAGGGAGTCTCTCTTCCCAACCCCCCCCCCCGGATTAACTAAGAAGAGTGATTGTCCCGGAGACTGTGGTCTATTGTGTATCATTTCATGGGGATTTTATATCCGTAATCCCATGAGTGCTTTTCACTGTACAGTGGACATCTGATGAATGGCCACATTTTATAGTATATTATATAAAGGTATTTATTGTGCTGCCTGTCATTCCTATTGCTTTTTCTAATATAGAGGGTCTGTCGAAACCCATAATCAAGATAAGGCCTGGGACCCTAGGCCTGTCCAGGAGTTAATCAGGAAGTTAATGTGCAGCCCAGGGATGGCAGATTAATTCATAAAAACCTTACCTTAAAGTTGTGGTTTTCAAACTTCATTTTTTTTTAAACTGAGGAACCTTTGTCCTCTGTAGTCATTAAGATAAAACCCAAAGGGTCAGGGAGAAGAATGTGTAGCTGCTTTGGTCGGGAGCAGGAGTGGGGGGGCGGGGGCGCGGGGTGTGCTGGGGAGAGAGTGGAGACCGGGCTGCTCCTAGAAGGCTTTTCCTTCAGCATGTCAGAGTGCCAGAGAGATGTGCTAGTCTGTGTGTGTCACTCACAGATGCAAGTCAGCAGCGAAGACGTAGAAAAAAGTCTTAATGGCGTAGACACTCTCCTAAAACGTTTGGGGTGAAGTGATGTTTTTGTAGCTCAAAGTGCCTTTCAGAGGACCCAAGCAGTGAATTTTTGGGGAAAGCAAATAACTGCCTTCTAATTTGGAAAGTTCTGGTACATGTTCATAATTTAGGACGTATCTCCCTAGTGCCTGTTCACACTGGCTTATAGCCATGCACCTAGTACTTACAAAATGAATTCACCGGGAAATCCGTTTCCCCAGGTACATGATGATGAGGGACTGTTGGCACGCGGTGCCCTCCCAGAGGCCGACGTTCAAACAGTTGGTAGAAGACTTGGATCGGATTCTCACTCTCACAACCAATGAGGTAAGCACCCTCTTCCAGAAGCCTGTGGTCCTTTCTTGGGAGGCCGGTGCGACTTTTTCAATGCAACCTCCCCCGTCGGAGTCTGTGGTAGAGATTATCATTTTTCCACAGGGGTCAGACAGAGTTAAAATATGGGCAGTTTTGAGAGTTCTGACTCATGAAACCAGACCGAGGGCCCTACTTGAGGCTGCCCTTCTCTGTGGCCTTTGGGTGGTGGGTCCAGGTTGTGGTATGCTGGACAGTGTGGAGGCGGGAGAAATAGCAGCATTTGGGTTTGCGTGTGAGGAGCTTGGGTTTCTGTGCTGCTTGGATTCAGCTCCTAACGTAGGAGCTGCTGCCGTTCTCTTACTGGTGGGCTTCGCTGGAAGCAGTGAGGTTCTGCTAGTCTAGCTTCACACGCACGGCAGTGTCCACCGTGACCCTGTCTGGAAATGGCCTGGGGTGTGTGGTCTCCATCTGTGTGTATGTGAATGTACACACAGTTTCGTATAATGAGGGACTTGTGATTTTTTTTTAAAGATTTATTTGAGAGAGGAAGAGCGAGAGAGGGAACTGGGGGAGGGGCAGAGGGAGGGAGAGAGAATGAATCTCCAGCAGAGACTCCCTGCTGAGCCCAGAGCCTGACCCGGGGCTCTATCTCAGGACCCTGAGATCATGATCTGAGCCGAAATCAAAGAGTCAGACGCTTAACTGACTGGGCCACCCAGGTGCCCCGGGACTTGTGATTTTTAAGTGAAAGCTTTTACCTTTTGTTAAAATATTTTTCTTTAAAATACTTATAATCTGTACCAACGAAAGAAACACTCCTCTGTCCCTCACTGCGTGATTTCAGTCATGGTAGTGCTCGCTTCCGCATGCAGATAGAGTGGTTTCTGTGGTTGTAGAGAGTGTCTGATCTGAGCAGGAACGATGAGAAACCCATCGAGGTCAGAAGAATCCCACAAAAAATTGTTAATGAATGAATTTGAGATATTTAATGAGGGTGCAGCAAGCAGTCTTCCTTCAAACAGGAAAAAAAAAAACCCTCAAACCCAGTTATCTTAACAACAACAAAAAGAGGTTAAAATTGCTTGAATAAAAATAATACATTTAATGTATTTTTAAATACATTTAATAGTTTCAGAATGATTTTTTTTTTAAATCAAATGTTGTGATATGAAGCCTTAAGCCAGCAACATTATCTTGTGCGTCTAACTGTAGCTGATAAAAGGAGAGATTGCATTTAAATGAATACAGCTGACCTTCAGAAGTTGAAAGGAAAGGAACAGTTCAAGGGGAAAAAAAGCAACTTTCTTCTCCTGCCAAAATTGTTGTTTCTAGTGTAAGTTCCTTTAACCCTAGACTTGGAATCCACTGGTACCCCTCTTTTCCCCCTATCAGATCTGAACATTTATGGATGCATTTAGAAACTGGGAAAGCACTAATGTTCCATTTTACTGGTCCTAAGTCCATGCTCAATGCTCTTTATTTATATATTTATATTTAAAGTGGGTCCATTCATACTGAAATTTACATCTAGCATCCTAAAATAAAAAAGCAGAATGCCATATTGTCTAACGGATATAAAAATCGAAGTTTCTTTCCTTCTGAAAATCATTCCCATATGCTTGAGAAAAATGGTTCCATTTAGGACAAAATTTCATTTTTATCGTTGTAAGCAAAAAGTTCTCTTTTGATGTGGTGGGCGTGTTTGTTTCCAGTTGTGCGGTTAATGCTGATGTTGTTGGAACTGACACATCCCCCATTCTTGGATGGGGACTCTTTCCCTTGCCAAATCTGGTGATGAATTATAGTGTTGTTTTTTTTTTTTTCCAATTTTTTTTTGGGGGGGGGTTCTTTTTAAAATGTAGAGTTCCCAACATTCTGCGGGCTCTTTTCTGAGTGAGACCCAGAAGTTCCTCGGTTTAGAAATCTTGCCAGAGTTTCCGAGCAAGGGTCTGCGAACCTCTTCGGTAAAGGGCCAGATAGTAAACATTTTTTATCTCTGGGAGCCGAACTATTCAGGTTAGCTGTCAAGGCGAGAAAACAGTTACGGACAATATGTCAATGAGTGTGTCTATGTTCTGGGTAAAACTTGATGGACCATAGCATTTAAATTTTGTATGACTTTTATGTCCTTTTGTGTCATTTTAATGCCATGAGATATTACTCTTCTTTTGATCCCCCCCCCCTTGAAAAATGTTAAAACATTTTAGCTCATGTTTCAAAACATGTTTTTGCTCATGGGCCACACAAGACCAGGCAGTGGGCTCTCACCCTGCCATAAGTTGGAGGAAATGTTATCCTGGGTCATCCAGGGGGCTCTCTTCCATAGCAACCCCAACAGAGGCTATAGGGAGCAGAAGAGACCCTTTTGAATTTCAAACTCTTCTTTAACAGTCCATTATGGATTTAACATACACGAGTACATCCGAGCCTTTTCTGAACCTGTTTACATGTTCCACTTGGAGAGCTTCTGAGAGTAATGAATTACATCTGTGAAATTACCCGCTGAATGGAGACAGATTCCCCCTAAATTATCTTAGAGACTGCAATAGTAAAATGTAATTCGTAAAATAAATATTCATGGTCTCAACTATTTTAAGGGGTCCCCGGAATCCATAACACATTACGTGTTTTTCATTTTGTGGGGGCTCGGGTTTGAACCGTGTGCTCCCCCTCGAGGAGGCGTGTAGCAAGCCGCTTGTTGGGGTCTGTGTGAGTGGACTGGAGTGCTCAGCATTTTCCCATTCCCTCCTTGCCTCTTGTTTGTTCATGATGGATTGTAAGAGAAGGGTTAAGGGCAGCCTAGAGTCAATAAAGGGGGGGTTGTCTAGAGGAGATCTTTATGGGAGCGGGGGGTGCTAGGTCTCTGAATCTTCAACTCCGATACAGCGTCTCGAGAGCCTGCATTTGAAATAAAGGTCTTCTCTTCCCTTCTTTCAGGAATACTTGGACCTCAGTCAACCTCTCGAACCGTATTCACCTTGTTATCCTGACCCGAGATGAAATAAAACGTCTCTCTTCCCTTCTTTCAGGAATACTTGGACCTCAGTCAGCCTCTCGAACAGTATTCACCTAGTTATCCTGACACAAGGAGTTCTTGTTCTTCAGGAGACGATTCTGTTTTCTCTCCGGACCCCATGCCTTACGAACCCTGCCTTCCTCAGTATCCACATGTAAACGGCAGTGTTAAAACATGAATGAGCTTGTCCTTCTGTCCCCACACAGGACAGCACCAGGAACCTAGCCACACGAGCAGGGAGGCCATGCCTCCAGGAGCTTGTTGGCTCCGCTTGTATATATGGATCAGAGGAGTAAATAATTGGAAAAGTAATCAGCACACGTGTAAAGAATTTATACAGTTGGAAACTTGTAATCTTCACCTGGAGAAGAAGAATGTTTCTGGGGCCATGGACTGCCATGGGCCACCACGCGCCCATGACCCACTGTGGGTACTGGCTGTGGACCAGCTGGACTTGAGGCAAACTTAGGTTCTGCCTTCCTTGTGAATTTTGTAATAATTGGAGAAAATATATGTCAGCACACACAGAGCACAATTGCAGTATATAGGTGCTGAATGTATGTAAATATATTCAAATTATGTATAAATATATATTATATATTTACAAGGAATTATTTTTTGTATTGATTTTAAATGGATGTCCCAATGCACCTAGAAAATTGGTCTCTCTTTTTGTAATAGCTATTTGCTAAATGCTGTTCTTACACAGAATTTCTTAATTTTCACCGAGCAGAGGTGGAAGAATACTTTTGCTTTCAGGGAAAATGGTATAACATTAATTTATTAATGAATTGGTAATATACAAAACAATTAATCATTTATAGTTTTGTGTTTTTTTTGTTTTTGTTTTGTAATTTAAGTGGCATTTCTTTGCAGGCAGCGCATCGGACTAGTCAATCTATTGCTTGGACTTTACTAGTTATCAGATTCTTTGAAAAGAGAAATATTTACAGAACATGACTAATTTGGGGAAAATGAAGTTTTGATTTATTTGTTTAAGCTCTGCTGTCAGATGGTTGTTCTTACACCACAAAAATGCCAGTAGGAAACAAACCCATTAATAAGAGAGTATTTTGTTTCGCTGTGCAGTTCTGTCATTGGGCCCGTGGAACATTTAACTGGACTTCCCAAGACAAATGGAACCAGCGTTCTCTTAAAAAGATGCCTTAATCCATTCCTTGAGGATGGACCTTAGTTGAGATGATAGCCGACTGTCCTCCTCCCCGGCAACTGGCCTTCTGCCCTGAGTTGCACGTTAATCAGATTAGCCTGTATTCTCTTCAATGGATTTTGATAATGGCTTCCAGATTCATTGGCGTTAGAGAAGGCTTTTAGAATTGAAACACTGAGTTGTTCTGCTGATAGTCTTTGGAGACACTTCCATCTTTTTAAGGGATTGCTTCTGTCTAATTCTGGCAGGACCTCACCAAAAGATTGGGCCTCATACCAGCGTCATCACAATGTTGCCATGTTTCGCTTTCTATATGAAAGTACTGTGTCTTGCTTTGGAAACACCTACTCACTTTGTTATAGCCATGCAACATGAATGCAGATTACACTGATTCTACTTGTTACAAATTGGAGAAAGTATTTAATAAATCCTGTTAATTTTTATACTGACAATAAAAAATGTTTCTACAGATATTAATGTTAACAAGACAAAATAAATGTCACGCAGCTTATTTTTTTAAGACTCGTGTCTCACCAAATGGTTTCCTGTGCTTGGAGGTGTTGACTCAGTGCCGTTTGGTGTGATGGCATGAAAGGCAGGGCTGGGAAGGTTCATTGTTGGCTACAAACTGGTGCCTTGCCACAGGGATTGGCCGGGACCAGCAGTACCTGGGACAGGTGGATCCAGTGGGAAATCAGGGGAGGTGGGTTTCCGCTCTGGCTGTGTTGCTTCCTGGGACCTCGAAGGTGTCGTCGTATCTTTCTGGGTTTTATTTTTTTTTATTTTTAAAGATTTTGTTTATTTATTTGACAGAGAGAGACAGAGTGAGAGAGGGAACACAAGCAGGGGGAGGGGAGAGGGAGAAGCAGGCTTCCCGCCGAGCAGGGAGCCCGATGCAGGGCTCCATCCCAGGACCCTGGGATCACGACCTGAGCCGAAGGCAGACGCTTAACAACTGAGCCACCCAGGTGCCCCTCTTTCTGGGTTTTAACTTTTGGAAAAGCAAACGAGGGATGGCATGGGCAAAGCTTTGCAAACAGGGAGGTGTCCTGCGGATGGCAGGTGCTATGAGTGGAGAGGTTCAGATGATCTGGCTACTGGGAAGGGATCTTGAGGCCTTGTAGGCTGGCTTCCTCCTGATGTACAGGGAGTAGAACTGGCTTCAACATTTCAGAAAGAGAGCTTGAACAAATCTTAAAATAATTTGACCTATTTCCAGGCCACCAAGAATCTGAAGAGGGAAATGGTGTTTTGTCTGCTAACAATGTGAATTTATGATTCAAGGCCCCATCGTATCTGCTTGCCAGCCTCCATATCAGGAAAGGGAGACCGAAATAGCCCGAATTCGTCCAAACTTCAGCCATGCTCTCAGAACCATATGGTTACAAAGTGCCACATTGAGGCTCTTCACTGGGTTGGAGGCCATTAGTAGCGGAACGAGGGTCTGGCCAGCCATCTGGAGGGTAACCCGTTGTCCTGGGAAAATAACTGGTGTGCATTTTATGCTTGTGAGACTGAGGGAGCAGCTTTCTAGGAGACCATGTAGATTAGAATACCGTACTGGCTGTTGGCCGTTTTGGTTTTTGAATTATTTTGAAAAGATTGGACATCCAGAGGAAGAAGTCAGTAAGGTGCATGAGAAGAATGAGAAACACTTCTTTTTTGAGCTCTGCCCCCCCAAATAAATAGATGGAAGCAGGGTGGGATAGGATCCTGGAGCTTATGGTTCCCCTCCCTGCCCCCCCCCCGCCCCGCCCCACCACCAGACCTAAGGAAATTAGTTGAACCACAGTGTGATTGGCACCGTGATGTGAGATCATTTACAAAGAACCAAAAATCTCCGGCATCTCCCTGAGAAGTGGGTAGTGCCTGGCTCTTCCGTCTCCAGCTGGGAAGGGTGGTAGTCAAGAGGCTGGGGATGGGCTCGGGCAGAAAGTTAACTGGTGATGGGCTCGGGCAGGCTGGGGAGGATGGAGGAGCAGGACAGAAATGGGGCCTTCCAGAGAGTTCTGTGGATTCCTTTGGGACTGGGTTTACCTTCTCTACTGCTCAGCCTCTCAATCCCTCTTGACCTCAGGAAGCTTCCCTCCCTCGAAAGTTCCTTGATCCCACACACAGGGAAGTAAAACGCAGTTACAGTCAAACCTCTGGTAGACTTGAACGGCCACGGATTGAGGACCCCACCACCGATCCGGAAACAAGAACTTGGTCTGCGTGCGAGCTTGTACTGTAGTTGAGGCTCCAGAAGGGTGGAGAACAGAGGTCTCCGCTATTACAATAGGTCAGGAACTGGAGGTTCCTGAGGGTCACATGGCTGGGAATGGTCTAATGCAGCCTTATGCAGTAGAGGATGGTGGGTTGAGACAGATTTGGACTGGTTCATTTCTTAAAGCTGGGTGATGTTGGGCAAGTCAGAGATTCTATCTGGACAGTCCTTTCCTCAACTGCAAAACTAGTTATCACCAGCCTCCTGGTCTTAACAGTGAGGACTACCTATAGGAGCTTAGCTCAGCTCTGGCATACCATACTCCATAGTGTTCTAAGAATTAGTTTTTGTACATTTGTGATTTTTTTTTTTTTTTTAGTATATTCACGAGGTTATGCAACCATCGCCACCATCTAATTCCAGAACATTTTCATTACTCCAAAAGGAAGCCCTGTACCAATTAGCAATCACTTCCCACTTTCCTTTTCCCTTCGAGCCCTGAAACCATCACTCTGCTTCCTGTCTAATGGAATGGTACAATATATGGTCTTCTGTGTTCGGCCATTCTTTCACTTAGCCTAATGTATTCAGGACTCACCCATTTTATAGTATTTCTTAGTACTTCATTCCCATTTTTTTAAAAAAGATTCATTTATTAGAGAGAGAGAGAGAGGACGAGTGGGGCGGTGGAGGCAGAGGGAAAGGGAGAAGCAGGCTCCCCACTGAACTGGGAGCCCGATGCGGGGCTCGATCCCAGGATCCCCAGATCATGACCTGAGCCAAAGGCAGACGCTTAACCGACTGAGCCACCCAGGTGCTCACTTCATTCCTCTGTTGCCAAATTATATTCTGTTGTGTGAAAATAGACACATTTAGTTTTTCTGTTCATTGGTTGATGGACATATGGATCTCCACTTTGTGGCTATTAGGAATAGTGCTGCTATGCACACTCTTGGACAAGTTTTTGTGTGGACGTATGTTTTCACTTCTTTTGGGTCCACGCCTGGCAGAGGAATTGCTGGGACATGTGATAACTGTGTTTAACCTTTTGAGGAGCTGCCACATTGTTTCCAAAGTGGTTGCACTGTTGTACATTCTCACTAGCAATGTAGGAGCGTTCCAATTTCTACATATCCTTGCCAACATTTGTTATTGTCGGTATTTTTTATTATAGCCATCCTAGTAGGTGTGAAGTGTCTTCCTAAGAATTTAATAGCTGAAGAGATACCACTCCGATCATGAATCAAAGATACAGAATACCTTACTGGGTTTTCTAGAACAAAACACTTAGCTTCAAATAATTGGCCAGCTTTTGCACTTAGAAAATGGCCAAGATAGCTGAGGAGGCTTCGGTGGAGCCTCATGGAGTGGAGGGGCTGAGATTGATCATTTCCTCTTGGCCGAGAAAGGAAGGAAGCACTGACATGTGATGCAAAGGAATAGACATGCTTTCTGGCTGGAATCCTTGAGTATATCTCTGTCCCGTGTCCCCAGTTTTGTGAAGTCTGGTGAGCTTGAGCAATTCATTGGGACTGATTAATGCACCATTACTTACGTATGCACATCGGAGCCCTCCTTATCCAGCCTGCGTTTTGATGTTACTTATTTTTTTATGTTTTTAAAGATGAAAGCCAAGTCTATCTTCTCTCACATTTCATCCCCTGGAAGCCTTGAAATGACTTGGCGGGGCACAGACTGCAGAAGCCTTCCACGGCTTAAGCGACATTCTGGAAGGGGCCCCTCTTGTGTCCTTTCTCCCTCAGGGTTCCGGGGGTTTTGATGAGCTGTTCAAAATCGCCTCTAAGTCTTGGCTCAGAGGTCACACCAGGTACTGTAGAAAGAAGACAGTGGCTATGAGAACGATCAGTGTTGACCACCTTGCCATTATCTAGGGACGCTGGAAATAAAAGGCTGTGGATTTCTTCTAATTTGCAAAGCTGAATCCTAGAGTATGTAGCAGCTGAGTGACAGAATTGGGCTTAAAATACATATGCAGGTAAGTGATCTTTCCTCCTATGGCTCAGAACACTGCCTCCTTCTGGGCCCTGTCTTTTTAGTTTCTTTCTCTCTTCTAATTCCTTAGTTGAGGGCACTTAACCAAACCTTGCCTGAATCCCTTTCAAGTCAAAGTCCGCAGCACCATGTGTTTGGAAAGGGACAGAGAACGCTTATGGATTTGTAAATTAAGAATAGAGGAGGAAACGTATTCTTATTCTGTAAATGGATGACAAATGATGTCTTTCTCAAATGATTGTTGAATCAAATGAGATTTTACCTGGGAAACACTGAACACAGTGCCTGCTACATAGCCCTCAAATATTAACAGCTGTTTATTTTTTTTAAAGATTTAATTTATTAGGGAGAGAGAGAATCTCAAGCAAGACTCCCCACTGAGCATGGAGCCCGACATGGGGCTCCATCCCACAACCCTGAGATCATGACCTGAGCTAAAACCAAGAGTCAGACGCTTAACTGACTGAGCCACCCAGGCGCACCTTAGTAGTTGTCTCTATCATTTTTTTTTATAGATGTAAACATACACATAGATATAGATCTAAAGACAGAAACTAAATATGTTTATTTTTATTTTTTTAAACTATTTTATTTATTTGACAGAGCGAGAGAGGGAACACAAGCAGGGGGAGTGGAGGAGGGAGAAGCAGGCCTCCCACTGAGCAGGGAGCCCGATGTGAGGCTCGATCCCAGGACCCCGAGATCATGACCTAAGCTGAAGGCAGACGCTTAATGACTGAGCCACCCAGGCGCCCCTATATATGTTTATAATTACTACTGAAGAAACTGATTCATGAGATTGCTAGACAGTTGTGAATTTCATGAGGGCGATGTCTTTTCCTACTTTTGTAAAAAAAAATATCATTGAAGTTTTAAGTCAAAGAAAGTGCTCAAAAATTTTTAAAATGAAATTATGCTTACAACATTCAACCTGTTATGTTCCCCTTTTAAACAAGAATTTGATCTATAAACTGCCAGGCAATGCCCTGTCTGTGATTTAAGGGACAATTCAACATGTTCAGAACTGTATGGACCACGCTGCTGAATGGTTGAAGTACCACGGTCTAAAAGGCTGACCAGAACAGAAGCAAAAGTTCAGGAGGGTTTTTGCAAGGGACGCTCCTTTCCAGCTCTGCATGTGATGTTGTTACAAGCAAATCCAAATGGGTTCCGTGACAAAAGGAAATATCACATGGAAAAAACGGAGGAGGCCTGACGCAGTGTTCTCCCGGGGTTAGGGTTGTGTATTGTTTAGGGGCTGTCCCACTGAATCTTTGTGACATGAATGTAAGTTACCCAAC